TTTTTTTAATTTTTTTTTTTAACGTTTATTTATTTTTGAGACAGAGAGAGACAGAGCATGAACAGGGGAGGGTCAGAGAGAGGGAGACACAGAATGGGAAGCAGGCTCCAGGCTCCAAGCTGTCAGCACAGAGCCCGACGCGGGGCTGAACTCACGGACCGCAAGATCATGACCTGAGCCGAAGTCGGCCGCTTAACCGACTGAGCCACCCAGGCGCCCCCAAATTAGCCATTTTAAAATGAACGATTCAGTGGCACTGAGTGCATTCAGTGTTTTGCAAGCATCACCCCTGTCTGGTTCCAGAACACTTGCGTCCCTCCAGATGGAGACCCCGTACTCACGAAGCAGTCACTCCCTATTCCCCCCCACCGGCCAGGCCCTGGTGCCTACCACTGTGCCCTCCAGCTCCGTGGATTTCACATAAAGGGAGTCCTGCGGCGTGGCTCTTTTGGGTCTGGCCGCTTTCCCTGAGCTGTGTCTTTAAGGCTCGTCTGTTCAGTAGTGTGTCAGGAACTCATCGTTCTTACTGCTGAGCAACCGTCCGCAGTGTGGCTGTGCCTCATTCGGTTCCTCCATTCACTGCTTGATGCACTGAGCTGGTATTACTTTTCTAATATAAAAAAATATTAGGGGTGCCTGGGTGGCTCAGTCGGTGTTTCTCTCTCTCTCTCAAAAATAAACATTAAAAAATTTTTAATTAAGTCAACTTTGAAAATGTAAACGTCAAAGGTGTTAGGGGCCACCCTTCAATGCGGGGGTGCGTGCAGAAGCCCAGAATAGAGGTAACAAACAAATATGCTGATGTCCTAGCCTCTGAAAAGAGCTTGGTATGAGCGGTGATACCCGAGAGTTGAAGTTAGAAGCCTCCAAAGCAGTGAGCTCAACCAGAAAGAAGGGGAGCAGAGAGAAGAGGTCCCCCCACAGTGGATCAGCAGACCAGGTTCTGACCCTGGCTGTTCTCAGACTCCCCCCACCCTCGGGGGAGCTTCCAGAACGTAATGGTGTTCTGAATCGGGATGTCAGCGTCCTTCTGGTGTTCGTGGCTCTGGGGTGGGGCCCAGGCGGAGTAGTTCTGTGCCAGCTCCCGGGTGAGTACAAAGTGTCGCCAGAGTTGACCAAGCCCCGCGATCCCCACTATAAAGATCGGCACAAACCAGCCGGAGAGAGAGCAGGTGCACCTTCTAGAAGGTCCTGACCACAGGCCAGAGAGAAAGACTGGAACGAGCAGAGACGCAACCCTTTCCTGGTGACCCGAGGAGGGTCGGTGGTGGCAGTGGGGCCCAGGGCAAGGGGGCCGCCAGGCTGCTATGGGAGGTGGTCTCTGTGGGTGATACCGCAGCTCTAACCTGCCTCCCCTAACGGCCAGGTTCATTAAGATCGGCGACAAGGAGATGGAGTATCACCCCAAGTTCCGCCTCATCCTGCACACCAAGTACTTCAACCCGCACTACAAGCCCGAGGTGCAAGCCCAGTGCACCCTCATCAACTTCCTCGTCACCAGGGACGGGCTCGAGGACCAACTCCTGGCTGCCGTGGTGGCCAAGGAGCGCCCAGATCTCGAGCAGCTGAAGGTACCGGGGCCTGACGTCAGCCCCACGTGGCTCGGGGCGGGCTGTTCAGTCACAGCGAGGTTCCCTGACCCAGCAGCGGCCACCCCAAAGCATCCCAGCCTGTCGCACCGATGGCATTAAGTGCACCAGAACGAGCCACTCTTCCTCCCCGGTGGCCTCCCAAACCGAATTCCAGACCAGACGACTAATTCACTGACGGCAGAGGAGCCTCAGCGGTGCCCAGACGGCCCCATGTGCCAAACCGCTGCCCCACCAGCATGGCCTTTGCGGCCGGCCCCTGTGCGTGGTCAGAGCGGGCTCAGAGTGGTCCCAGGCCCTGCTCCCTGGCCACACACGGCTGCCCAGGACAGGCTCAGGCTTCTCCCGTCCGTGCTGGGGCCTCAGCTGAGCGGTGGGGGCAGCGCCGGCCGCTGTCTGGGCCCGCCCCCCAGCCCCGCGGTCTGTCCCTCCTGCAGGCCAACCTCACCAAGTCTCAAAATGAATTCAAGATTGTTCTGAAAGAGCTGGAAGATTCCCTGCTGGCCCGTCTGTCGGCGGCGTCGGGGAACTTCCTGGGGGACACAGCCTTAGTGGAGAATCTGGAGACCACCAAGCACACAGCCAGTGAGATCGAGGAGAAGGTGAGCGCACATGGCCGCCTCCGTGGGGGGCCGCCTCCCCCGGTCACTGAAAAGAGAAGCCACAGTCCCATGCATGCCCCGGGGCCCAAGGCAGGAGCAGCATGCCAGCTGCCGGCCGAGGGTCCCCCCAGGCAGGGGGCGGACCCACTGCCCTCTGGCGCTATCCACCTGCTCGTCCCACTCGAGCCCCATTTTTTTTTGAGGTACAAGAGGCAAAAATGACAGAGGCTAAAATCAACGAGGCCAGAGAGAACTACCGGCCAGCCGCAGAGAGGGCGTCCCTGCTGTACTTCATCCTCAACGACCTCAACAAGATCAACCCCATCTATCAGTTCTCGCTCAAGGTGTGGGTGCAGCCAGGCTCCGGGGCGGGGGGCCTGGAGTCCACAGAACCCCCAGCCGTCAGGACAGTCGGGGTCCAGGCTGTAGACAGAGGTGGGAAGAGGGAGCTGGGGCACGGGATCTGTTCCAGGCCAGCACCCCGGGGAGGGGCTCCTCTCCCGGTGCCCCAGACCCCCACCCGCCGCGGAAATAAACTGGAGCCCCCACAGGAAGCACGGGGTAGCCTCCAGCCCCATGAGCCTGTATGCACCCCTTCCCCAGGCCTTCAACATGGTGTTTGAGAAAGCCATCCAGAAGACCGCCCCGGCCGAGGAGGTCAAGCAGCGAGTGATCAACCTGACGGACGAGATCACCTACTCTGTCTACATGTACACGGCCCGCGGGCTCTTCGAACGGGACAAACTCATCTTCCTGGCCCAGGTGGCCTTCCAGGCAAGTCTGGCCTCCCTTCTCGGAGTGTGGCCCGCAATGCAGATTCCCGAGTGATGGCGTTCGTTGGAGTCATCGAACGATGCTGGGGGACCTGCTTGGGGTTCTGTTGACACCGGGCGCGGTTGTAGGTGGCAACCACTGGAGGGGAGGTCCGTTAAAGAGAATTCTACAAAGACCCATCATTCTCACTGCATTTACGTTAATGCCGAGCAAGCAGTCCTGCGCCAGCGGGCGGATAACCACCCTGGACGCAGAACGCTATCTCTTAAGGAAGTAAAGATACTGACGGATAAATAGTTCTCCTGTTCATACAGACAGACCCGCTGAAATTGACCAAACAGCCATTAAATGGATTGTTCCATTAAATCGATCAAACAGCCCCTCCACCCTCTGGTTCACGGTCTCATGGGTGTGACAGAAAACACGAATTTCTAGATAGCTTCTGGAAGTTTGCTTCCCTTCCAAACTCAAACTATGAGTCAGGGTCCAGGTCGAAGAGGTTTTCCTTCACCTGCATGAGTTCCTGAGCGGCAGGCCCGGCGTGCGCTTTCTCCCCACCGAGGGGGCAGCAGGATACTTGATGCACGCCCTAAATTTCCAAAGGAGTTTCTCTTCTGACCAAGAGACAGAAAGAAAAAGAGAGAGAGGGTCTGACTCGCGTGAAACTCTGCTCCGTGGCGTCGGAGAGGAGCTGCGCGGCTGTCCGTCTGTGGCGCTGCGGTGACCGCGGCCCCAGCTCCCCGGCCAGATGGACAGAGTGGGCCGAGCCACCTCTCAAGGGCCGAGACTCGGCCTGCTGGGCGCCCACAGAGCTGGTGGGCACGCGTGACAAGGCGACATGGACTAGGACCCAGAAAATTCCCCGTCCCGAAACGTATGTGTATATGTACCGGAGACGTACGTGTCCCAAAGAACTGACTTGTATACGAACACAGCAGCTCTGCTGATAATCAATCGCGAGGTGGATGTGGCCCAAACGTCCATCAGAGGATGAGTGGATAAACCACACGTGGCCTCTCCACACGACGGAACATCATTTGGCTACAATGTGGGTGAACCTGGAGGACAGAGTGACAGAAGCTGACGGGAGCGGGCCACATCTGCAGGATTCCACTGCACGGGGCAGATCCAGACAGAGCATAGACCCTGGGGTCACCAGTGGCCCCGGCTGTGGGTGTGTGTCTGTGTGTGTGTGTGCTGTGCACAGGGTCAGGGGTTCCCTTTGAGAAGAAGAGAAAGCTCTGCTTCTAGATAGAGGTGATACGATTTTACGAAAATTTTACGCTTTAATAGGGGTAAGGCGGTACATTTTGTGTCCTGTGTATTTTACCACAATTTAAAAAATCAACAAGTCAAGGTGAAAAGAAAGTCTTGCCCGGACCCAGAGGGCAGGACGGGCCAGGGGTGTGAGCTCCTCGGCCTGCCCTGCGTCTGTCTGTACGTCTGTGACCGAGGTCCCAGGTGCTCCTGCCAGGGGCTGGCGGCCGCCCTGCCCTGCCGTTGTGGGCTGACGTCTGAGCGGCCCCCGTGTCCCCCCAGGTCTTGTCCATGAAGAAAGAGCTGAATCCGGTAGAGCTGGATTTCCTCCTGCGGTTCCCTTTCAAGGCCGGGGCCCTGTCGCCGGTGGACTTCCTGCAGCACCAGGGATGGGGCGGCATCAAGGTGGGCTGCGGGCCCCATCACTGCGTCCCCTCTCTGCCGCCCAGCCCCTGGGGCTCACGCTGGGGACGTTTACAAGGCGGACATTCAGCGAAACGGGGCGGGGGGCGGACCCCGGAGGAGGGGCCGGGGTGCAGAGGGCTACCTGCCGGCTCGCAGGAAACTACCTTCTTGTCTGAACCCGGCGGTCCTTACGACCCGCACACAGCCCTGCCTGCACCCCGCAGGCTGAGCCACGGGCGGGGCGGCCCCTCCACCACCAACCCCTACCTCCCGTTCTGGCCGAGTGCAAAGGGCCAAGGAAGCTCCTCCGATTCCGGGCACACGCACTCAGGGGCCCTGGGGGTCTCCGTTCACAAGACCTGAAGAATGGGGTCCCCTGCGGTGGGAGCGGCCCCGGTCCCACAGCCCTCTGGGGGGAGGGGGGGAGGAGGCCGGCCCCGGGTCATGCGCTCCGTGGTTCTATCCGGGGCCCACAGTGGAGCCAGCGGCTCCTTTTAGGGCTGAGCCAGGCGGCCCACCCTCCGCCAGCACCGGGGAGCTGAAAGGCCATCTGCCCCCAGGCCCTGTCGGAGATGGATGAGTTCAAGAACCTGGACAGCGACATCGAAGGGTCCGCCAAGCGGTGGAAGAAGCTGGTGGAGTCAGAAGCCCCGGAGAAGGAGATCTTCCCCAAGGAGTGGAAGAACAAAACTGCGCTGCAAAAGCTCTGCGTGCTGAGGTGCATGCGGCCGGACCGCATGACCTACGCCATCAGGTGGGCGTGGCGCCCGGCGTGGGGGAGGAGCTGCCTGTGGCCCCACCCTGTGGGGGGTGGGAGGGATGGGGACCCCGCCCACTGGCGCTCCGCCCCCTCCTCCTGCTAGCCTGAGGCACAAGTGATGGGGAAACAGGACACCCCACCTGAGCCGTCAAGATTCTTCAAAGTGTGGGCGTTAATGGCTCTGGGGCCACACAGAGTCCTTTTAAGATGCAGTGGGAACAGTGGCAAAGCCATCAGCACCCCAGGACTTTGATGCCCTCACTGGCTAAATTGAAGCTCAATCTTTTCCTCAGTTTTGGCTCCTTTGCAGAGAGAACTGTTCCAATTTCGTGAATAATTTCTCTGCCCCCAAAACCTCTGCACGACTGGAAAATTAATCACCATGGCCTTTCGGCAAGCCATCCCGTTCACACCCCTGCTGGGACTGTCCTCTCACAGAAAGGCTCCAGGAGCCACAACATCACAGAACACCTGCACCGATCCCCCACGGGTGACACCTGAGATGTCCCATCCACCCTCACCTGGAGCAGAGAGGACTTCCCTCCTGCCCACCAGGGCGACCAGGGAGGATGGAGATGCCACCAGAAGGAGGGAGGACAGAGCAGACAAGGAACCAAGCTCAGTGTCTGTTCTCCGACATGACACATTACAGTGTCTTTGCCTTTTCTTTGTCCTAGCAGAGCCCAAAAGCAGCCAGATTCCCCAAACGGTGCCTGTGTCCCTAACAGAACTCCCCTCCAACCAAAGCAGCGGCCGGACTCTGCCACTGGCTGTTCACAGACATTTCTGTTTTGCTGTTTGCTGGGGGCTCACGGGCAGGGCAGGAAGGGGCCAGACAGAAACAAGACATCCCCGTCACGTGCTGGAAGAAGTTGGAACAAAGTCTGGGAAAGGTCAGGGTGAAGGACGCACAGCTGGCCAGCACAGCGGGCACACGGCCCCCTGGGGGAGCTGGGCATATTCGGGTGTCCCCGCCGGCTGCCTCCAGAGCACTGTGGTGAGTCACCACCTGCGCCCACTCTCCAACATGGCACGATACGGTGTCACGAAGGAAGGAACTCGGACCCCATGAGCGTCTGCACCTTGCAGAGGCCTGGGCGACCCCAAACACCAGGTGAACCCAAATCCCGCTGTGACGTTTCTGCAGTGTCCCTGGGTATAGAGAAGCAGTGTAGCTTAAAAGCAAGGGAATTGAAATCCACAGCAAGAAACAGCAGCACTCATCGAGGGCATACCGTGTGCCAGGCACCATTCAAAGCATGAGCTCACTCGGGGGCCCCCCCATGGCCCGAGGCTCACTGGCCCAGAGAGGGTGGCACCTGGGGGTGGGGGTGCCGGCAAACATCTCTCCCAACAAAGGCCCTGGTTTGCAGCAGTTTCTGTGATGTGGCTTCTCCACTGTGGCTGTCGTGGCTGGGAGCGGGCTCCCGCAATCCTCTGCCAAGGACTCGGCGCCCAGAGTGGCGGAGCCCATCGGGAACCAGTGTGCGCCGTTCATCGTTAATTCACCGGCAGAGAATGACCACGTGGCCTGGCCACATCATTAGTAACCGTGATTTAGTGACATTCCTGCCTACGTTCCAGAAGTCCTTCCTGGACAAGGATCCTAGCATCCACATTCCCAGCCAGTTCCAAAGGCCGGAATCGAGGACAACTGGAGGCCTTTGGAAGGCATGCCCCCCCACCCCACCCCTCCTGGCCAGGAGCCAGCATCAGTTTGGGAAACCGCACAGAAGCCAGCAAAGGCCAGAGCAGCGGGTGAACACTGTAAAAGTGTCCCTGGAAAGTCCTGAGCCTCCGAGGTTCCCCAGGGAGTCAGAGGGAGGGAGTCGGAGGGTGTGGGGTGGCCTCCAAGTGAGCAGGCCACCAAGAGGCCACCTGACGGTCCTCCAAGATGAGGACAGAGCATCCAGATGGCCGGCTGCTTGAGAGCGAGCACCTCCTCTCCCACTGTTCTTTCGGACTGACTTGCTTCTTCTAAAGACACTGAATCCTAGCATTTCAGCTCCTGTGACTCATTGAGAATACAGTAAGCTCAGCCGTCGGTGATGGAGGGAGAGGGGCAGAGCGAGATCCAAAGGTCACCCCAAAGAACACTAGATCTCCCATGAGAGGGGCCTCGATGGACCCCAGACTTCTGAGGGTCAAGAAAGACAGTTTGGGACTTGGAACAAAGAAGTGCTTTTGTGAAGAGAGATATTGATGTACATTCCTTTTTTTTTTTTCCCCTGTGATTTTTCTGATGAAAAATCTGATGTTTTGTGGTCCTTGAAGTTCACCAAAATGGCTACAACGTGAACATCCTTCCTCCTCAACCCCTGGTCGGAGGACTGCCAGGATGCAGAGCCCCATCTGTGTTCTCCTTCTTGCCGCCCTTGCTGGAGCAGAGAACTTGACCCGACCCCTTTCTTGGGGGCACAGAGGGCTCGAAGGACCCAGGGGCCTCCTGGCACCAGGGCGTGCTCATCTGTGATGCCCTGGGTTGTGGCCCCACTGGGGCTTGTGTCCCCACCCCCCCCCCCAAGTGACCTGGGAGCCTCTGAAAACGGGGCAGCGTGACACGGCCTCACCTGCTCGCATGCAGGCCTCTCCAGGGAAGGGTGCCCTGCAGGGCCGGGCAGAGACAGGGGGTGCCAGCACCTGCTCCCCCTCCACACCCTCTCCCTGCAACGAGGAAAGCCCCCACAAGGACTGCCTTCCGGCCGGGGACATCCTCTGCCTTAGAAAGCCTCCTAAGAAATGGCCCTTCCCCCTGGGGTCACAGCCCACCCTGTCCCCCTCTGCCTTCGGGGCTGACCAGTGCGTCTCCCTCAGGAACTTCGTGGAAGAGAAGATGGGCAGCAAATTTGTGGAGGGCCGGAGCGTTGAGTTTTCCAAGTCCTACGAGGAGAGCAGCCCCTCCACGCCGATATTCTTCATCCTGTCCCCAGGCGTCGACCCCCTGAAAGATGTGGAAGCCCTGGGTGAGTGTGGCCGGCTGGGGCCGGGGGGGGGGGGGGGGGGGGGGTCACAGAAGGGGGCCCCCACATCATTGGTCGTCAGCAAATGCCCATCAAAACCGCGGTGAGGTCTCACAGCTTCTGTCAAAGACCCAGAAAGTGATGGGCATCAGAGGGAGCGTGAAAACAGGTGTCCGAGCAGGTACTTCGTAGGGCTGTTGGCTCGGCCAAAAGGCAGATACAACCCAGCGTCCCTCAACTACTGAATGGCTAATCCCAACGTGGTAAATCCATTCAACGGGCTGGCGCTCAGCCACAAAAAGCAATAAAGTGCCAACACGCGCAACCCGCAAGGAGCTAGAAAACACTGCGCCGGTTGGAATCCAGGCCAGACACAGAGGCCCCATTTATGTGGTTCTGGTTATCTGAAACATCCGGGAGAGGTAAATCCGTAGCGACAGACCGCTGTGATGTGGCAGCAGTGGGGGGAGCGGGGAGCGGTGGAGGGAGAGGAAGTGGAGGGGCGGGGCATCATTCGGGGTGATGAAAACGTCCTGGAACCGGACGGATGGTTGCACAACATCGTGACTATTAAATGTCACCAGACTGTATGCTTTAAGATGGTTCTTAAATGGATAAATTTGACGTTCTGAAGTGTGTTTTACCACAATACAAAACAGAGCAGGAAGCGTGTGGAATTCTCAGCTGGGTTGCGGAGCCTCAACCTTCGTCAGAGGCCCCCCATGCATTTCCTCTCCTTTAGGGAAGAAACTGGGATTCACCATAGACAACGGGAAACTGCACAACGTGTCCCTGGGGCAGGGACAAGAGGTGGTGGCCGAGAATGCTCTGGATGTGGCGGCAGAGATGGGACACTGGGTCATTCTGCAGGTACGGAGGCGCCCCTCTGGTGCAGGGGCTCCCCACCCTGAGGCGGCCGTGGGGACAGGCCCGAAGCCTCGAAAGAAAGCCGGTCATGGGGTTCGCACCCACAACCGTGGGAGGGGACAGGCGGCTCCCAGGACGCTGGGGTTAGGCCCGAGGACCCCGAAAGAGATGCTGTTCACAAAACACCCGAGTGGCCAACAGCACCCCTCCTCCTCCTCGTTTGGGGGAAGCAAAAGTGGCCTGGGGGCACTCTGTCCACACTTTGGGTAAACCCGGCTGGGCCCAGCAGCCTCTCCACCCCCTCTCCTGCACCTCAACCAACACCTCTAGGCCTGCCCAGCTCCCACTGACCCCAGCGGGTGCTGACCTCAGTCTGCAGGGCCAGCCTGGTCCCACGTGGAGACCCCAGCTTCGGGCCATTCCTTTTTACCCAAACCTCTCAGGGGAGGGGTGGGGACCGTAGCGTCCAGCCTTGTGCCGGCGGGGGTGGGGGGTGGGGGCGGCCGGGAAGGACTCACCGCGGGGCTGGGGGTCTTGAATTAACGGAGCACAAGAACGGACTCCCAGGCCTCAGCCGTGTAGCGGACATTCCCCAGCGCGCCCAGGGGAAGGGTGGACAGCGGGCACCACCCCCTGCCAGGGAACGCGGTCGCGGCGGAGAGGGGCGCGTGGGCGCTGAGCCCCAGTCTCGGCCGCAGAACATCCACCTCGTGGCGCGGTGGCTGAGCACACTGGACAAGAAGGTGGAGCGATACAGCACGGGCAGCCACGAGGACTACCGCGTGTTCATCAGCGCCGAGCCCGCCCCCAGCCCCGAGTCCCACATCATCCCCCAGGGCATTTTGGAGAACGCCATCAAGATCACCAACGAGCCGCCCACGGGCATGCACGCCAATCTGCACAAGGCTCTGGACCTCTTCACTCAGGTGAGGCGCTTCCCTCTGGTGCGTCCCCGGCCCCCCGGCCCCCATGCAGCCCCAGCCCCTGGCCCCCACTGTGGGGGGAACTGTGGGGACGCCTCTGCACAGGTCCTCGGCGCAGCACGCCACACCACAGCGCACACTCGCACCTTGCACCACAAAATCAACATGTCCGCGCAAAACTGAGTCGAATGTGCGATGTGTTCAAATTACGGCTGTAAAAACCAGAAATGCGTATTTTTAACCACTTTCGCGACCTGCGAGTCAGTGCAGGTAAATGCAGTGTGCGTCACCTCAGGAAGGGGCCCTGCTCCTGGCGGTTTGCTCGGGGC